GGGTTTAGGGGTTTAGGGATCTTGGGCTTTGGGATATTGATGCCTAAACTAAAGCCTAAACCCTAAAGCCTAAACCCTATACTCTATATACATTAACCCATTATAACAGTACTATACAGATCGGGTGGATATGAGGGATGGATGGATGAACCTTTTACACATTTCATGGGGCCTTGGAAGGCGAGGCTTTAAAGGTGCCTAGGCCAGTATAGCTCCGCTCCGAATCAAGTAGACTGTGCACGTGAAATCCCGACCCTACTTAAGGCATACAGCCTACACTTTCCCACCAAACCCTAAACCCTTTGAAGCCGAATGAAATAGGAAACCAAGCCTAGAGAACCACTGCACTCCCGCAATACCCTTGAACATCTATTCTTGCAGCCCAGCAGTACCATCCATCCGTCCGCAGGCGGCAGCTCAGCAAGACAGCGGTGTCGTAGACGCCGCTTTCGAAGGCCTTGGCTTCTGGTATAAGCCCAACTATCATGCAGCTATTCTCATTAATTATATACCATAGGAACCCAAAACCTACTTTTTTTGTAGGGCCCCTATAAATCCCATATTAGGGTTTATAATAAGAACCTACAGAAAAGTGGGTTTTGGGTTCTTAAGGTATATGTGCATGCATGGTACTCATGATGCTTGTGCTACTTGTGAGGAGTGACAGAAGCAGCAACGCTGAACCTGGACGAGGCTACTCAGGTAGAGGCAGATTTAGCCCAGGAGGCAGAGGCTGCTCGTTTGTTGCAGGAAAAGGCAGAGGCAGATCGTGTGTTGGAGGAGGCAAAAGCCCATCGTTTGGCTAAGGCAAGGGAAGCTGCAAATGTGTTGGCTGAACAAAAGGCAGAGGCAGATCGTTTGGCAAAGGATCGTTTGGCGAAGGAAAAGGCAAAAGCAGATCGTTTGGCCCAGGCAGAGGCGGAACGTTTGGCCCAGGAAAAGGCAGAGGCGGATCGTTTGTTGCAGGAAAAGGCAAAGGCAGATCGTTTGGCCCAGGAAAAGGCAGAGGCAGATCGTTTGGCCCAGGCAAAGGCAGAGGCAGATCGTTTGTCGCAGGAAAAGGCAGAGGCAGATCGTTTGGCCAAGGAAAAGGCAGAGGCAGATCGTTTGGCCCAGGCAGAGGCGGATCGTTTGGCACGCGAACGTTTGGCCCAGGCAAAGGCAGAGGCGGATCGTTTGGCCCAGGCAGAGGCAGATCGTTTGACACGGGAAAAGGCAGAGGCAGATCGTTTGGTGGAGGAAAAGACAAAGGCAGATCGTTTGGCCCAGGCAGAGGCAGATCGTTTGTCCCAGGAAAAGGCAGAGGCAGATCGTTTGGCCCAAGCAAAGCTACGTGACACGCAAGAGGAGATCAAGATCTTCCGGGCAAAGAAAGCAGAGCTTGAAAAGAACAAGGCAACCCTAGCCAGATTGCAGAAAGAGCTCGAGGAGGAGCTGAAAGTCACCGATGCAATCATGCAATCCCAGCAGGCACCGCTCATGCCAGGTTCGTGCAAAGTAGAGACCCCAAGTCCAGCTGGCAGAGTCATGACCCCCACAGAGGCCCTGTCTCCAATTTCGACCTCGACCTCGAGCCAAGATGCCCAAGACCCGTGGATTTGCCGCCGGCTTTCGGGTGCATTCGACAACAGCCTGAGCCCAGAGACCACAACCCCGCCAAGTTCCGCAAAGATGCCTGGTGCTCCGCAGGCTATTGCTGTTGCCCCCGCCAAGACGCCTGGACCAGCCCCTCCTAAAGCCCCAGCTCCAAAGCATGGCCAGCCTGCCCCCTTCGCAGTGAAAGCTAGGCCCCAGAGCCCGCCACCCTCATCAGGTGCAATTACGAAGCGCCTGCTCCGGGTCCTCGAACCAAATGCACGAGGAGTCTACAAGGTGTCAAAGGAGGTGAGAGATCAGTTTCACGCCGGGGGCATCTCAAAAAGCAACGTCTACAAAATGTTCGCAGAATGCAACAACAATCCGGACAGCCTGATGATTTGTGTAATTTCATTGTGCACGTTGATCATATTGTGAGCTCTTTTGCTGTATGTCTTATAGATCCCTGACAGGAGACTTTTGTTGCCAAGTTCAGTGCTGTCCACGAGAAGCAACGCGAGCTCCAGCTGACTGTAGACTTCGAATTCCTTACGAAACAGCAGATGGCCGATGAACAAAACATGTCGCCGCAACTTGGCTCATCATTTGTATTTCAGGCAGCCTGTACAAACAGGAAATCAAACTGTATACCATAGCAACTTAGGGATGATATCGCAAAATGTGTGGCAGCAGCAGAAGCAGACCCTGTCAACAAGATCCGGTGGCTTGGGTGACACATACTTGTCGAGTGTGCTTTATATTTTCTATCATGTATGCAGATGATGCATGGCTTCATGATCATGTATCTAAGGTCGCATGCCTACAGAACAGGAGTGCTGAGATACTATTGTGAAATCAAGGTGCGGGGGCACGCCCAGTGTCCAGTCTGCATTGATATCCAGATCATAAACCATATGTAGATCCAACTGGGGAGGGGTGCCACTTAGCAAGCCTCTTAAAACATTGTATTACAGAACCATTCCGAAGCCTATAAGTCCTGTAGAATGCCCATACAGCCCTATATCATATACAACCTTATAAACCCTAAACCCCTAAACCTGACGTCCTAGAGCCTTAAACCCCAAATCCTAAACCGTTGGCTCCAAAGCCCAGAATCCTAAATCCAAGAGGGATAGACCCGAAGAGTATAATATCTATACTCGAGTGTATTACTCTAAAACCCGTATACATACCCAATTTTCTGCAATGAACTCTGACCTCGAGGAGGACAGACCGGCTGACGTTGACGGAGACAAGACAGATGGACGGTGCCGGCGAGGGAACGGAACCGATGGAAGTGGATTTGAATGAAGCCTTGCAGGAATCCGAAAGTTCCTTGCTTGCAAGCAAAGTGCGGCATCTTGCAGTCATCCCAACAGATCAAGCCTTAGATCTGTTGCAATCTGACTAGCAATCCTGAGGCTCACGGCCAGCATCCTACGTTGATGCTGCAGATGGTTTGACCCAGTCAAACCCACCAAACGAGGAGGTGAGTCGCTTGCTGAAGCGCTTGGGCTACCCAGAGGTTCATGACTGCAAGGCCTCTGCTTTGATTGACAAGGCCGTATCTGCTTGCACTAAGCGGTTGAAGAAGCTTGCTGAGCTGCTACCTGAAGAGTCTGACGACAAAAAACCGGAGCTACCTACTCCACCACCCACGAGCCCAGCATTCGATCTCAAAGAGAAGACCTGCCCTCAGCAACACTGTGTCCGAGGCAATATATTAAACATGTTCCTCACCCTCCCTTAATATATGTATGCTCAGGATGTACAACAAGATCCGATCCGTCTACGCAGCCGTGGATGGTTGCTCTGAGAAGCTCGAGAAGTTCAAGGCCGATGGTATGGTTGATGGCTTTTCTGAGGAGCTGCTGGGCTCAATATTGTTCGGGGCTATGCTGGTTGTCCTCGATCCTGTTGTTTGGAGTCCTATGACAGAATGGTATAACACTGCAATTATAATTGTATTGCGAAAGCCTCCCAGGTGGGTGTAGGGTTCCAGGGTGATACGGTGTTGTTTTGGTTTGGGTTCTCCGCTTATTCGGGACTTGTTCTCCACGGGTTTCCCTAAACCCTAAATCCCCACACCGAGCAGGGCTGGAACTGCGATGTTATAATCCTGAAAAAAAATTCTCTAAACCCCTAAAGCCCTAAAACCTAAATCCCTAGACTCAAGACTCCTAGAATCGAAATCAGGTTTCTTTAGATAAACCAGCTAGTATTGAACCTTGTCTTTGTAAAGCCTATAAACCCAAAACCCGATGCCTTGGCTACTCTAGTCTGCAAGGATGGAAAGCTCGATCGACATCGAGCTGGGACGATGCCGCAAGCTGCACCCTGGAAGCACCGATCGAGTTTTGTGGTACAACACGATCCTGATATCATGTCAAGACTCGCTTGCAACACAGGATAATCGAAGCCGCTGAGCTGGAAAACCGTGCGAGGACTGTAGAGTTAATGCAGATACCAATAATCTAAACAAGCCCTATACTATATATGTACCCTATGTAATCCTATATTCTATATACCCCTAAAAGCCCTTATGTAACCCGAGCATCGAACCCTCAACCAAAAATCAAACCTCGGCAGGACCCTCCTTTCGAGACCACCATCTATCAAGAAGGAGATGGCCGCCGATGCAAAGGTCAATCCCAAGGCCAAAACTCTGAGAATCAAGGCCAAGGCTCCAGAGCCACCGCCCAAGCGGGCGAAGAAGTAGCAGATTTTCCTGTGGTGCAGTCGAGCGGCTATGGTTTGAGTTCGCAATACCTTATATAACTTAATTATAGGGGGATTGGGTTCTGGGTTACGTTTTGTTACAGCCCTTTTATTCCGAAGAAGAAATCCTAATAGGGACAATAGTCATGGGCCCTCGACTTGCAAGGCTTTTGCAGGATGGTGCTGCCAAAGGGTTACTTCATAAGAAAACCCCAAACCTTAAGGCCCCAACCCTAAACCTCAAACCTTTAAGTGGGCCTCGTGTATACTACAGCCTTTGACAATTAAGCTGATTAGTTGTGAAGCCAAAGCGCCTTTGGCACAGCTCCTGCTCTCTATAGCAGGCCGGGCCCAAATCAATCATAGACTGTATATGAATATGAGCATGCAGTTAATCTTTGTAGCTACGATGAGGTGCCCTTTATCTACCGGAGAGTAGACCGCCTGGTTTTGGATCGTGGCCATCTGAAAATAAAGAGTGCCTGCTTTGGTCTTGTGGCTGCAAACAAGCTTGCATAAGGGTTTGAAGCCTGGGTTGTGTAATCTATGCCAGGTGCTCCGGAGGCAAGTGAGACCCTCAAAGCACTGGCTGAACGTGTGGCTGATGGGGCCTGTGTCTCAGGTCAGGGTTCACGTGTCGAATTATATAGGTCGACCGGTATGCATGCATGAATTGGTCTTCGCATCCCGTGTACACCAGCCTAGGCCGTCCTATTTAAATTATAGTAGTCATCCCAAACCGAAGCTCCATACCCTGAACCCGCCATGGTCTGCAATAGAAAAGGAAAACCCCCCCAAAGTGCCACTAAATCCCAGAAGTCGTCTATATTATTTCATTAACCCCGAATTTCTGGCATCCGATCGACCCACACCATAAGTCACATCCAGGCTCCAGCTTGCATCATCGGCGAAGTCGCTGATGCAGTTCTGAGCGACGGCAGCCGAGTGCCAGGCCTCATTGAAGCCGCTAAGGTGGACAAAAACCACAGCGAGCGAAACGCTCACCGCTTGTTTAACAAGTACGGCCTAGCACTCAAGGTCCCGATTGATAATTTCGGTGTCCCGCAAAGCTCTTCGGGTGAAGCAGTGACAGTTCCCTACCTCTCCATTAGCAAGTACATGCAGCGCCTGCTGGACAGCTACGAGCAGCTTATGTTTGGAGGTTTGTCAGCTACAGCATCAGAAGTGCTTTTGGGGACATTCTGGTCTAGGTTTCGAGCCTACCACCCCAAGCACTTGGTGTACTCGGATGCAAGCATGTCTGAAGCAGAAAGGGTCCGCACCGTCCCGGTGTGTATCCATGGAGATAAGGGACGTACATTACAAAAATCGCCGATTTATGTCCTCAGCTTCGAGTTCCCTTTTGGACTTCCTCCGAGTATGCTGAAGAAGTGCAGCTATGATGAAAAGCGGAACACTAGGCATGTCGAGGGAAAGCTGGCCCAGACGTGTGGGTCTCGTGCCAAGAAGCGAACAATCGAAGAAGTAGACTTCTCTGAGTGCACTCGCAATGACCCTCCCAGATACCTCGATGCCTCTAAGCCCAGAAGCCACCAGAGACACAACAATCGGGGACACAGTTTCCTGAGTCGCTTCTTGGTTTGTGCCATTCCCTCGAAGACCTACAAGAAAAACCCCGAACTCATTCCAAACCTGCTCAGGGAAGTTGCCAAGGAACTTAAAGTACTGTTCGAATCGGGTCTGAAGCAGGGCAAAACCGGTGCAAGGTTCCGCTTCGCTTTCATAGGTGCCAAGGGCGATTCCGAATGGCATTTTGAGGCAGGAAACTTTACACGGTCGTATCACCGAATTGGTCCCGTAAATCCTGCCAAAATTTGTCATCTATGTGACGCCGGAGCCCAAGGCCTCCCGTATACAGATGTTTCCAGTGCACCCGAGTGGCTCAGCACGCTGGGTGCCGAAGCTCCATGGCGAGAGACGCCTCCCTTGAATCAGGCTCCCTTTTCGGAAAGCTTTCCTGCTTTTCTCTACAAGTTTGATCCCTTTCATGTACTGAAGTACGGGGTTTTTCGGGATTGTTGTGCCAGCACCGTGACCAGATTAGGTTTCCTAGGATATTTCGACTTCTCGGAAGAAGGGGAGCTTGAAAACATCCCTGATCGCCTTATGAGGGCTTTCTCGTTGTACAAGCTTTGGTGCTTGGCAGAGAAGAAGAATCCTTCGCTGAAAGGCTTCACTAGGATCAACATGCACTTTGACAAAAACACCTCCTTTGCCTGGTTCAACTGTAAGGGAAGTGAAGTGACGCTGCTGATGCAGTGGCTTGACTTTCAGCTCCTTGTTTTCATTGCGAATGTCAAGCATGAAAGCCAAAGGACGGAGTTGCGGGCCATGCACCAGATGATTCGTGGAGGTCTCAACTACATAGGTGTCATGCACTCGCATGGCCTGTGGCTTCCGCATTCTTGTGCTAGGGTCCAACTTGAATCAGGCTTGACATTCGCAAGAGGCTATGCATACATGGCTAACTACTTGACCTCCCTGGGAGTTTCCGGTTACAGATTGCGCCCGAAACTGCACTACATGATGCACCTGCTCCTTGAGCTTAAAGAACAATTGGATGCCGGATTCCCCTATGCACT